CAAGCACCCCCCCCCCCCCACCCACCCACACACACACACACACACCCCACACGTGACCCACCTGGCCAAAGCCGCCCACCACGAGCTCGTGGTCGCCGTCGTATCCGGAGCTGACGCTGCCCTTGAGGCTCATGCGGTCGGTGGTGGTGACGTACAGGTCCACCAGGTACGCCTCAACGATCTGCCGCTCCATGGCCTCCAGCTGCGCATGAGGGGGGTGGAAGACAGAGGGGAAGACAGGGTGGAAGAAAGCGGGGAAGAAAGCGGGGGAGACAGGGCGGAAGAAAGGGTGGAAGAAATGGCGGAAGAAAGGGTGGAAGAAAGGGTGAGAAACAAAGTAAGGTGCGTGACAAGTGTGGAGCAGGGCAGAGCGTGGTGGGTGCGGAGGCCGGGCGGTGGTGGGTTGAGGGCGGCTGGGGGTTTGGCGGCGCGCGCAGGCGTGCCCGCCCGGCACCAAGCATGGCGGCACCGTTCGCTGCGGCCCTGACCATGTCTCGACCTGGCGACAGGCAGCGCCCACCTGCAAGTCCTCCAGGATGCTGCGGATCGCATTCGCCAGCGTCTCGGTGCTGCCTGCCCGCGCCTTCTCGCCCCTGGGGTATAGGGCAGGACGGGGCAGGGGCGGCGCGCTGGGTGCGGCAGACACAAGCCCGTAGAGCGCCGTCATTGCGGTGGCACACCGTGGTACCCACAATGCGGTACCATGCGGTATGACGTACCTGTCCAGCAGCTGCTCCATCAGCTCCGCGTACTTCTCCTCGGCTTCCTCCAGCTGCTCGTCGGGGATGGGCAGCCCTTGCCTGCAAGGCAGTGGTGTGCGGCGTGGCGGTCGTGCATGTTAGTGCCTGGCTGCGTTGGGTGGTGGTGGTGGCGGTGTACGCACGTGTGTGTGTGTGTGTGTGGTGTGGGTGGGTGGGGTGGGGAGAGACAATGCACCCTCCTCGAGCCCCGCGGCACTCCCACGCAGCCCATGTGCAGCACGAAAGGCAAAAGAATCGACCAGTATGCAGGCAGGCGGGCGGCCGCACTTGTCGTAAAGAGTGGTGGCGGCAGGTCCGTCGCGTCGCTTGGGGCGCAGGCTCAGGCCCAGCACATCCACCGCAAACTCCAGCATTGGGTTGACAGGTGGCCTGCGGGAGGTGCCTGCAGCAGGCGGCGCGGCGGCGGGGTGGAGGGGGGGGACAGGCAGGCGTGGAGCCGGCGGCGGCTCTGGCGGCGGTGGCAGCGGTGGAGGCGGCGGCGTGTGCGCGCGGGGGTGGTGGCAGCAGCAGGGGGCGCCAGCCGCAGCAGGCGGGGTCGGCAAGGGAAGCGCTGCCTCTGCCCGACCACCCCCGCCACCACCACCACACACAGCCCACCGCAGATGAAGGTCGCCCCCAGGTCCACCGGCCGCCGCACTTCCCCCGCCACCAGCTGGTGGGTGTGGATGCGGCCTCCCAGCCTGCAAGGGGAGGGTGTGCATCGGTGCGCGGTGGTTGGGTGGTGTGGGGCGGCGCCTCGACAGAAGCGGCGGCAGCAGCATCTGAAGCCGCGGTGGAAACGGCGTGGCCACACCGCTCCAAACCCGTCCCGAGCGGAGCATTCAGACTCTGGTAGAAAGCAAGCAAGCAAGCAAGCAAGCAGGCAAGCAGGCAAGCACGACAGCAACACAGGTTCTTCAAGGAGCGGCGAGGCGCTCTCACCTGTCCCTCGCCTCCAGCACCGTCACCTGCGCGCCCGAGCGCTGCAGGTCTGCCGCCGCCTTCAGGCCCGCCACGCCGCCGCCGATGACGATGACCCTGAGGCCTGCAGGGGGTGGAGGGAGGAGGAGGTGTGTGTGTGTGTGTGTGGTTCTTTGTGTGATAGGGAAATGAGGGAGAGAGAGTGCGCACGACAGAGAGTGTGTGTGAGAGAGAGGGCTCAAGGCAGAGTGTGTGTGTGGTAGTGGGAGTGAGTGGGAAGGCACGGGGCGGTGGGTGGGCACCGAGGCGCGCCTGGCGGGACGGGCTTCTCCTGCCGCACGGCGGCGCCGCGGCCGCCGCGGCCGCCCCGCGCCCCGCGCCGCGGCAAGGCGGCGCCGCCGGCCTGGCCGCGCTGCCGCTGCCGCCGCGCATCCGCTGCCTGCTCCCTGGCATCATCTGACTGGCCGCCATCGGGGCACCCTGTGCGCCACAGCCGGAGCTTGGCGTCGAGCCCCTGCTGCTCATCGTCCGCCGCCGCAGCAGCCTCCTCCTCGCCCTCGCCGCTCGCGAAAGAACTGAGAGCGTCCTGAGAGATGACCGCCACCTCGAGCTCTCGTATCAGCGCTGCAGCGAGGGGGTGGGGGCGGCGATACCGGCGGCGCGGGCGTGCGTCGTGCCGCTGTGTGTGGGGTGGTGCAGCGGGAAGCAGGAAGCAAAGCTGCGAGGGCGGCGCCTGGCGGCAGCAACAGCACATGGGGAGCAGTGGGCGGTCCCCGGGTGGAGTGGAATGCAGGCTGCCTGCCGGCCACGGCTGGCGCAAGAAAGCCCGGAAGGCGGGCAGTCACCCACCAGATAGCTTGTTGCAGCTGTGTCGGAACGAGGCGCCGCCACCCTGCAGCCGCCGGGGCAGCAACGCCGGCCGGGGCTCAGGCAACCGAGCAGCGGCATCGGCGGAAGCGGCAAGCTCGGCGCTTGCCGGCCGGCTGGAAAGCACGGGGCGCCGTGCAGGCGGCCGCAGCCTGCGCCGCTGCCCCACCCACGCGCGCGCATGCACACACGCGCCAGGCCCGCCCCTCACCTTCTTTACGGTGGAGGCGCAGGCAAAGCAGTGGGCCGCATCGGGAGCGTAGTGGTCCTTGTTGGTTCCCACCTCTGTGCAGGCGTCGCAGGCTGCCATGAAGCGGCGCATGGCGGCGCCGCGGTACGGCGGCAGCAGGGCGCTGGGGTGTACCTGTGGGTGGGGTGGGCGGGGCAGGACAGGCTGTCAGGTGGTGGGGTGGGTTTGGGTTTGGAGGAGGGGGCTGGGGGGTGGATGGGGACTGGCGGCGCCGGCGGGAGCAGCGGCTCATTTCAGGTGCCAGACGTTGGTGTGGCGAGCGCTGCCCTTGGGGGCTAAACAGAGAGCAGCCGGGCAGCGATACCACAGCAATACCAAAGGGGTACCAAGAGGCCCCGGGAGCCCCGCCGCGCTCGCCTGCTGCAGCAGCCACTTGAGCCTGGCGGCCAGCTGGCGCGGGGCGTCCGCCGCGGGGCGGCGCAGCAGGTGGTTGTCCTGGATGTACGACCTGCGGGTGGTACCGCACTGTGGCAGTACCATCAGCACGACGCATGGGTGCAATGCATTGATACAGTATCAATCAAAGACGCCGGTACCGCATCACGGTGCTCCAAAGGCGCCTTTGGAGCCGACGCCGGCAGCCGGCCAGCTGGCAGGCGGCAGCCCCACTCACTCCCACTCATCCCACTCTTCCTGCGACACATCGGTGGCGATCGCCTCGTCGGGAATGCTCTGCTCCATGAACAGCAGGCGGGCGGCCAGGGGGATGACCTGGGAGCGAGCGCCCTCCTCCTGCAGACAAGGCGGGGCGCGGGGAGCGGCGGCAGCTGCGTCTGTGCCGTCTGCGCTGTGCGTGTGGTCGTGGGGGGTGTAGGAGGCTGTACAGGGGGTAGCGCTTGTGCGTGGTGGAGGGCGGGATGCGCCGGCAGCAGCTGCTGCAGCGGGCGGGGCGCAGCAGCTGCCGCGCACCTGGCCCCCGAGCTCCGCCAGCAGCTCCTCGGTTGGCGGGAAGTTGGTATCTGCGGGGAAGGTGGGCGGCACGCCAGGTGGCACAGCAGGCAGGCAGCGGCCGGCCGCCTCCCAGGCCAGATGCGGCCCCGGGGCCGGGGCGGGCCTCCCGCATTGCACAACCCACGGCTGTGCATGCAGCGCCACATGGTGCGAGCTGTGCGGAGCACGCAGCAGGCAGGGGACCAACAAGCAAGCGGCGCAGCCCACGGCACAGCCCCACCTGCCCCGCTTCCAAAGTAGGAAAGCGCCATGCGATCGTACAGGAGCGCCTGCACAGCAGGGGCGCCAGGGTAAGCCACGCTGACTGGGCGCGCAGGGTACCGGACAGGCCGGCCGGCAGAGGGTTGGCTGCAGAGGCCCCAGGCGCGCGCTAGCCAGGCGCGGAGGCAGCAGCATGCCCCGGCATACAGCCACGTTATGTGCTTGTGCTATATGCAAGCACATGCGCTGCGCTGTGCAGGCCGTAAGCTGCAGCAAGGGGGCAGGCTGTCGGGCAGCAGCGAGCTGCAGCCGCGGCAGCAGCGGCCGTGGCGGCGGCTGCGACGGCGGCGGCGGCACCAGCCTCCCTCACCGCTTCTTCGACCGTCTCTGTATAGGCGCTGGGGACCTTGTGCTTGACGGCGCAGTGAGAGTCCCAGAACACAGGGTGGTACTGCCCCCTGCAGGGGTACGCATGTGCGTACAGCGCGGCACAGCGCAGCGTGGTGAGAGGCGGCGCACGGCAGCGCACGCAGCATGGCATGGCACTGCAGTGCACAGCGCAGCGTGGCACAGCGTAGCACAGCACACACGGCAGCGCCGCAGCGTCTGCTGCACACGGGGCATGCCACACGCAGGGCTGGGCGCCACAAGCAAGCAGGAGCAGAGACCGCAGGCGGGCGGCGGCCCCACACTCACTTGTAGCCGGGATGCCACACCTGCTCCTCGTCGCTCTCCACAATACTGACCTGCAGCAACACAGCGGCGGTGCGATGGAGCAGCCGTCATAGCGGAGGGTCTGGCCTGGGTCTGCTCTGCCGCCGCAGAAAGGGCTTGCGGCAGCCAACGCAGCAGGGTGACGGCGACGCTCGGGCATGGGAAGCGGGCAAGGAGTTGAGAGCAGGAAGGGGCAGGGCAAGGGGGCGGCTGGGCTCCCGCAGCAGCAGCAGGCGGCGCTGACAGGTCAAGCCTCTTTCAGGCAGAGTGCTGCTGCGCTGTGCACGCTGCGCGCACCCCCAGCCAGCCGGGCACGCAGGGGCTCCGGTAGGCGCGGCCCTCCTCGCCGCCGTCGGGCAGCTGGCGGTCGGGCAGGTGGCGTTTGTCCAGCCTAGCGGCGCGGCCCTGCAGCAGCAGGAGCGCCAGAATGGTGGGCACAGGAGCCCGGCGGGGCGGCAGGTACGGCAAGCTGAGGAGCTGAGCGGCCAGGGGGCAGCGCTGGCAGTCGCCGCAGGGCGCAGCCCTGCCACCTCAGCGCCGCGCTGCACGCGCTGCGACAGCAGCAGGGCTTGCTCGCGAGCCAGAGAGCCGCGTCGCGAGTGCCGTTGCTATCGGGCGGGCAGTAGACAGTCCAGCGCCGGCAGGCAAGCCTGCTCACCAGAACAGTGCCCTTGTGGCGGTCGACGATCCAGGGGCCCACCGGGCGAGCCATGCCAGCCTCCCCTGCAGAGACCGAGCAGCGGGCACCAGGCGCGGGTGCAGAGGCATGTCGGGCAGCTGAGACGCGTAAGCCTGCTGCCCCAAAAAGGATGCCGGCGGCAGGCACATGACGGGACCGCGACAAGCAGCAGCAGTCGCGGCAGCGGCAGCGGCAGCGCCAGCAGCGGGAGCGGCATTCCTAGCAGGGGTTGCTCACTGTCAAAAGCCAGCACGTGGCGGTCGTGCCCCGCGCCCCCTGCCGCATAAAAGCCTCCTTCCTCCGCCTCTGCTATCGCCACGGGGGTGGCCTCCACCTGCACCCAGGCCGCACCGCCAGCCGCGGCATCCGCCCCAGCGGCGGCCGCAACCCTGCGGCCGCGGCCGGCAGCCGCCACGGCCGCCGCCGCGGCCTGCGGCTCGCCAGGCGGCGCCTGCTTGGGCGGCCGCCCGCGTTTCTTGCCGCCGGCGGCTGGCCTGGAGGGCGCGCCAGCCGGCGCCAGCCGGGCACCGTTTTGCGCTCGATGGGGCCCTCTCAGCACCGGCAGCAGCTCATGAAGCTCGGCCTCCTCGCCATCCCCATCCTCATAGCTGCACGGTGCGAAGGCGGGTGGCACGCGGCAGGCGGCAGAGCTGCTGAAGGCAGAAGCAGGGAGCCGGGGAGCCGAGCCTCGGCTCCCCGTGGCAGCGGTGCATGCGCTGCAAGCGGCGGCACACAGGCAGCGGCAGGCAAGCGGTGGCTGGCAGGCGGCACGGCGTCCGCCACGGCAGGAGTTGCATTCAGCAGCGGCAGGAGTCCTCACGTGATGTGGTACAGCTGGCACTCTGCAACAAACCCATCCACCTTGCCAATCCACTTGCGGGGCCCGAACCCAGGGAAGTGCTGCAGGAGGGGGGGACGGCAAGCAGACAGCAGAGGTTCTGAGGGCGGCTGGTCAGGCGCCGCGGTGCAACACTCGCCAGGGAGGTGCATGCGCGGCAACGTGCCCCGCAGACCTGCCGCCAGAGGGCCTGCCACGACTGACTGGCAGGCAGGCAGGCAGGCAGGCAGAGAGGCAGGCAGGCAGCGAGGCTGGCAGGCAGGCAGGCAGGCGGGCGGCCTCACCTTCCTCACTGTCCAGCCGATTAGCCCCTCCGGCAGCTGCGCAGCCACATCAGACGGGTTGAAGAAAGACAGCTCCTCGATGCCTCCCGCTGGCGCTGCCGCGGCTGGCTGACCCTCCTCCTGCTGCTGCTGCTGCTGCTGCTGCTGCTCCTCGCCCTCCTGGTGTTGCTGCTGCTGGCTGTTCGCCCCCACCAGCTGCACCACCAGCATGCCAGGCCTGCTGCCGACGGGCTCCAGCACTCGCCCCGCCACCCACTCCCGCCGGCTGTGCAGGGCGGGGCCGGCTGGGCAGCGCTGCATGCGAGTGCGGCCGGTGGGGACGGGGCCGCAGGGAAGGTCAGCGGGACTGCCACCCGGGTGTGCTTCCACAGCAGCCATGTATGGCAAGCAGCGAATGGATCCAGCGGCGCTGCCAGGGCGCTGCGCCGCCAGCAGGCGGCACGGCTGGCAGCACCAGCAGCAGCGCCTCACCAGCAGCACGGTGCGCCCCACAAGCGCTCCGGCCGTGAGCTTTGGCGCGCCAGCGGCCAGCCCGCCCTCCCGTGGGTCGCCCTCCTCGCCGCCGCTGCCGCCGGCGCCGGCGTCACGCTCAGCCTGGTGTGAAGCCGCCTCCAGAGGCTGCACAGAAGCGGCCGCAGCCGCCACCACGCCAGCAGCGGCAGCAGCGGCGGGCCTCTGCCGCTTGGCCCCACGCTCCGCCTCTTCGCCGCGGCTTGGAACAGCCGCAGCTGCCGCTGCTGGCGCCCGCGCTGCTGCCTGTGGCGCAGCCGGCGCATCCGCTGCGTCGTCAGATGACTCGCCAGGCGGGAGATCGTAGCAGCCGCTGTAAGGAGACTTCACCTGCTGCTCAGCTGGCTGCTCCTCCTGGAGCACAGCCTCCTCCTCCTGCTGCTCCCGCCCGGCTGCCTCTTGCTCTGCTGCCTGCCATGCTGCCGCCTCCTCCACCCCTTGCTGCTGCTGCTGCTGCTCGGGCTGCTGCCGGCTGTGCCGGATGTATTCGCGCTCGCCAGCAGCCAGGGTAGGCGGCTGCTCGGCTGCCACTGCGGCCGCTGCTCTGGCAGCCAACGCCGCCGCCGCCGCTGCCGCGGTGCCAGGGCCCCTCCGCGGCTGCGCCGCCTGCTGCTGAGCGGGGTGCTCGGGCGGGCGCGCCTCCTGGCGGGGCCGCTTGCGCCCCGGCGTGCGGGCTGCCGCAGGCGAGGCCGGCTTGCGGCCGGGCTTGCCGAGCTGGGCTGCCTGGCGCTTGGCTGCCTGGCGCTTGGCCGCAGCCTCATTCGTGTTGCCTCTGCTGAGCACAGTGATGCGGATAGCTGCCTTACTGGAGCTGGTGGCAGGCTGGTGCTGAAACTTGACTTCGTCGCCTTCCTGCAGCCCGTTTGCTTTGACAAAGATGCCCCACCCGCCGGTGATGTTGCAAGAGTCTGCGGCGGCGGCAGCAGAGGGAGGCGCGGTGGCAGGCTGGTGCAGCGATCGTGCGGTGATGATGTCATGGTGGGAGGCAGGCCCAGCGTGCATGCACAAGTCGCAGCCACATGCAAGGTGCGGGAGGGGCTGCAGCAGCGGCACTCGGCTGATGATGCCGGTGCTGCCAGAGCGCAGGCAGTAGTACCCGGCTTCTTCTCGTCAGCGGCCTTCTTGGTCACTCGGCCCTCCCAGGCTTCCCCAGCTTCGTTCTTCAGAAGCACATCGGTGGTTTCTGTGAACCACACCCTGTGGAATCTTGCTGGAAAGCCCAGCGGGGCATTCCGGGAGACGTATGACTCGCTCAGCACCTGCAAGCAGGATGTGGCGCGGGCAGGCGGCGACGGCGGCAGTGGCGGCGGCCGACCCCCGAAAAAGGCCCAGGTGAAAAAGGCCCACCCCCCTGCAGACCCTCTGCAGTCCCATTGTGGCATCTGGCGGCACGGCTGCGCGCCTGGGCACGCTGTAGTGGCCCCCAGACGGCGCCATTTGAACAGCGTGGTGCAGGCGCTCCGGGATGTCGCACCTTTGTGTACTCAAGCTCATCGCCACCTGCCATGATCCCTCGCAGGGCAGGGGCGCGAAACCCCAGGCCAGGTGTCTCGATCGGATGGTGCAAATGGTCTGGGGGGCGGCTCACACAGCCTGGATCCCAATCCAACTCGCACATGTGCGCAGCACCAGCAAGATATTATCTTGCAAGTCCCGCAGACTACACGTGTCAGGGCGCCGAAACTTTACCCGTGGGCGCCTGCGATGGCCCCGTGGGCGCCTGCGATGGCCAAGGCCCACCTGCCGGCGATGGTTCGGATGCCAATTGATATACTTTGGAAGCAGTTGGAGCCCCAAGGTTGCTGCCACAGCGTCAGACCCACCGACGGCGGCGGCGGCCTGCCGCGGGTCTCTTCACCAGTCCTGCAGCGGCATGCGATTCAGATCCACACCCACGTGCAGAGATTAAACATAATGCATACCCGCAACAAGCAGGATTGATACAGGCAGCTGTGCATACAGCCAGCGTGAGTTCCCGCCCAATGAAGAGGCGGCGGCGGCGGCGGCCCCACCGCTGTCAGCTCCGCCACCATTTTCTTGACTGGCTGTGGTCCTGAACCCGAGTGTCAGCCTGAAGGGGTCCTGTGTGGCACCGTGGGCGCTGCGCACTGCTCTGCATGCTGCCGCCCAATTGGAAATCCCGCCAACCATCATCCCGCAGGGGGCGGCCTCCCTCCCTTGTTTTCCCAGCCTCGGCTGGCCGCTATGGCGATGGCTGACATATCGCCCTTTGCCAGCGCCTTTGAGGCCTTTGCGGGCGGGGAGGAGCCGCCCAATGGCGTCCGTGTGGAGGGGTTCGACGAGAGCCACTCCTCCGGCGGGAGCATAGAGCTGCGCCCCGTGTGCAGCCTCACGGAGAGGCAGAGCTCTGTCGGCGCGCTGAGCCAGCTGCTTTTGGCGCGGCGCCAGCTGGAGCGCGAGCAGGCTGCCCTGCGCCCCGGCCTCGGCCTCACTATCCAAACGGCACGCAGCGGCCTGCGCCTGGGACCCTCCTCCAGGCTGAGGCGCGGCGCCGGGGCGCCCCGCATCCAGGAGGACGCCGAGTTCGGCGACAGCGGCGGCGGCGCCGCCGCCGACCCGCACCTGGGAGGCACCGCGCCCAGCTGCGCACCCCACGCAGCGCAGCCCATGGCCCGCGCGTGCAGCGGCAACATCGACATGCCCGCCAGGTGGGGCGAGGGGCAGGTGGGCGCGGGCCCATGGACCGGCGGCGTCCGAGGCTTCCCGCCTTGCACCGGGCGGGCGGGTGGCGCATCCTGTGGCCCCGCAAGCCGCACACATGCCGCCGGGGAGCCCGCAGCATGCCGAGCAGCAGCCGCGCCACGCCCTGCTGGCTGCTCTGCCACCTCCAAGGCCGCAACGAGGCCATGCAAGGGGCCGGCTGAGGGGCGAGCGCCGCGGCTGCCTTCCAGCGCTTGCATTCCCGCCGTGCCGCATGCTCACTGCCCCCTTGCATCTGGACTGCGACGCATGCTGCTTCTTCGCTGCTGCACCTCACCTGGCGATCCAGCAGCTGCAGCCCTGCCGCGGCCCTGCGTGCAGGCTGTCAAAGGCCCAGACCGCGCCAGAGGGCCTGCCAGACTCGCTGGTGCTGGCCGCACTCACCGCTGGGCTGGGGCGCAGCCACGGCGCCTCGCGCTTCTCCCCAACCGCCGTCGCAGGGACGCTGCCCAGCCAGCAGCCGCTGCACCCGCCGCCGGCGCCGGCGCAGGCGCCGCCGCAGCCGGGGGCGGGGCGCAGCGGCAGCGGCGGCGCAGGCGGCAGCGCGCGGCCGCCCATGCCCGTCACACCCATCTTTGCAGCCGCAGCGCGCAGCGGGCAGCACAGCTGCCAGCCGCGCCGACAGCCGCCGCCGCAGCAGCAGGCGCAGCAGCAGCCGCAGTCTGCCTCGGCGGGCGCGGCGGCGCCGCCGCAGCGCCAGGGCTCCTCCTACCGAGACCTTTTTGACGCGCAGGTTGGTAGCTGCTTGCTGTGCTCGAGCGCGCCTAGACCTCACAGCTGGCTATCGAGCGAGCTCGATAATTGCAGGGGAGGCCCGCTGGATGGGCGACGCGCGCAGGCGCCTCGCAGCCAGCTCGCCGCCGCCGCGACCCGCAGCCGAGCGGCGGCGGCCGCTGCCCCGCCGTGCCTGCAGGCCGAGACGGCGATGGCCCAGGCGCAGGTGGCTGGGCTGCAAGAGGCTCTCCGCAGGGTGAGGGCTCGCCGCCGCTGCCGCTGCGACGTCGCCCCAGTGCTGGTCCCTGATCCTCCCTGCCATCATTCCCTGCTGCTGCTGCGGTGCAGAAGGATGAGGAATTAGAGCGGCTGAAGCAGGAGCTGCTGGCGGTCACCGCAGAGCGCAGCATGCTGCGGGAGGCGGCGGGACCCGCTGTGCGCGCCAACCTCTCGGCAGGCGTGCTGGCCGCTGCACCAGCTGGGCCCCCCTCGGCTGCCGCCAGCCAGGCCGCCGCGCGGGGCCCCAGAGGCGCCGGCGGCCTGGCGGCGGCTGCGCTGCGGTGCCAGGCGGCGGCGCCTCGGGCGGCGCCTGCCGCCGTGGCCGCTGCCGCTGCCGCTGCCGCGGCGGGAGCTGCGCCTGCGCCGCCGGCCCCTGCAGCGCCAGAGGAGGAGGCACTGGTGTCAGCCTTTGCCAATGCCCAGGCCTTTTCATTCGAGTGATGATGTGCCAGCTCAGCCTGCCAGCCTGCCAGCCACCCCAGCCCCGGCCTCAGGGCCCTCATTACCAGTAGCCTGTACGACATACTGATTGCCAATAGCATTGCACCCTGGCAAATGCTCCCAGGAGCGCCCCTGCCCAGCCAGATCTGTACCCAACCAACCAACCCGCCATGAATGCACGCCACCAATCATCTCTCATTCATCTGTCATCGAGCTTTTTGTTTTTTCCTCTGCCTTCCTCGCCCTCCCTTCGTGCGACAGCCCTTATGCATCACCCCTTCAGGCGTTTTCCCAGTGTACAGCGCTGCCGTGCCGCCGCCTTTCGCTTGGCCCATGCCACCCCTCCCGTCCCGTGCTCTCCCTGCTTGCCCTCATCCTCTGCTGTTGTCTGTGCCTTTGTGCATATCCTTGAAATCACTGCATTGCCTCGCGCCGCCTGCCACGATATCCTCTCGCAGTCAGCCTCCGCTGCGCATCTGGCCCCACCTTGACACCTCTATCCCAGGAAGTTCCTGCTGCTTGACATCTGCTACACACCCTCGTGCCCTTCTACCCCTGTCTCTACATAGATATACCTTGCTTTTTTTCCCATACGCTAGCGAAATGCTATCAGCCGCTCGTCGCACCCATCCCAAAACTGCATGCCGCCAGACCGTGTAAGCGCAGTCGGCAAATGGCGGCGTGGCAGACATCATCGGCGTGGAGCCGAGTGCTCCAGGGCGAGGGGGGGAGGCACATGGCAGGCATGCGGTGGGCAGCACATAGGGCAACTGGAGCCAGAAGTTCAAGGGCAATTGCTTCCCTGACGCTGGCACCTTCCCCTGCCTCTCCAGCCTGATGGACAGGGTGGGGAGACACATGGTGAGTGTAGAGGCATTTAGCCCCATACCACGGCTCGCCCCATTCCACGGCGTGTGCTGGCGTTGGCAAGGGGATGGAAGGCAGGACGATGCATGGTGGCCGTGGAGGAGCAACATGCGCGGAAAAGCAGGACATCAGACAGCGAAGCCCTCGTGACGCAGTCTGCCCTATGGCTGGCGATGTGCCCCCTTGCGCACCGCCCGCTGCAGCTGCCGCCTGCCGCCACCAGTGCACGGGCCCAACTGCAGTTCCGTGCAGAACCCCAGTGCTGTCCCGCCCGGAAACCAGCACGTCTGTTTCGAAAACCATAGGTGGTGCTGGGGAGCGTCAGCCGTGCGACATCCCGTCCTGTTCCTTGGGTCTGTCCGCTCGGCAAGCGCAAGCTGCGGGGCGAGCGCAAAATGCCAGGTTCCAAACGGTTGGTTGTTTGGTTGGAGGAGACAGAAATGAGGTATGGTGGCTCTCCAGCGACCGAAAACGGTGGGAACGTGCGGCGCTGGCAGGAACGCCATGCAAGGCCGATGAACCCGATTTCCCGCCATCAGCCCCCCTCAGGCGTCAATCACCTTCAATTTCTCTCCTTCACAACGCTGCTCCACCCCAGGACAGCCCAAGGTGAGGACCGCGCCGCGCCCGGCTGCCCCCCGCACTCTGTTGCCGCAAAAGCCGGTGGCTTTCTGGCATCACAGGGCGCGGTGGGGCTCCTACGGGGCAGCAGGGTGGGTCGCGAGGGGCCCAGCGGCCCAGACCTAGTCAGCCCTTGCCGCCCCTGCGCCCATAGGCCACCGCTACCTCGCCTGCAGGCCCTCTGAACATCGAACAACCCGCCACAACAGTGTGCCTGCCTCCCAGTTCGGCCACACCAGACCGACCTTGCCCACCCACACGCAGCTGCGCGCGTGGCGGGGCCCTCACGTGCACTGCCCAGGCCCCCACCTCTCACGGTGGCGCCCCAAAGCCGGCGGCGGGGCCGGCCCTGACGGCAGCAGCCGAGTCTCGGCGCGGTGACGGCGCCTCTTTCGGTGGCTCGCCCACCGCCACCGCCGTAGCCCGTAGCAGCAGCGACACCAGGCCCACCGCTAGCATGGCAGACTTTTTGTCGCCCTTCGCGGCGTCCTACGTGCAGCAGCAGGGGGCCGCCACCCCGCCTGCCGCTGCCAGCACCCCGCCGGAGCCGAGCCGCAGCAACAGCCCCGTGCGCGTGGTGGGCTTTGATAGCAGGTGGGTGCTGGCCGCCTGGGCCCTGTTTGCTCTGATCCTGACGGGGGCCCATCGCGGGCGACCCGTACATGCATCACCCGATGTGCCCACCATGTTTGAAGCCGACCCAGACCCCCTGCTGTGGCCCGCTGCTCTCTTGAGCTCAGCCAGTCACATGACGATNG